TGCTGCAGCCATGTTCACAGGGCTGGCAGCGAGGGGAGGAGGGAGCGTCCCTCTGGCTCCTGTCCGTGTAGCTCCGGCACGGGTCAGGTTGAGGGGCGGGAGGGCTCGCTGCTGGTGCCTACAAGCCCCGCCCCTGCCTTTGTGCGTGCCTGGGGAGTGGGGCTGCAGCACTCTGGAGGCGCCTGCCGGCCGGCCAGCCCAGCAGAAACTCAACTGCACTGCCCCAGGGGCCGGAAGAAGACGTGAGCAGTGCCGGCTTGCCGCGGTACCCCCGATATCGGGACAAAGTGCGTCCCGACCGATGTAAGGTCGGGACGCGGGACAAGTCCCCTAAAATCGGGACTGTCCCGATCAAATCGGGACGTCTGGTCACCCTATATGCAGCCAAGAGCCATATCTCTTCTGCATATATGAAAAAATATTACATTATCTATCAGTCCAGTTGCATTCTCCCCCTTGAGGGGGTGTTAACTAACTGAACGTGAATAATAGTTTACTTTAGCCTGAAAGCTATGCTTTTACTTGCTCTCTTCCATTCACTCCTGCCTTCTATTCTTCCTTCTTTGTTCTCTCTTCCACTGAGTCTCTTGCATCAAAGTTTTCCTCTCCATCTACTTACATCCAGTCCTAAAACTCATCTTCTCTATTCCCCACTCCATCTCCATTATTCACTCTCTTGTTCTTCTCACAATTTCTAACCTCTTCCCCCCGCTCCCCATTTCCCTCTCCCATGCTCTTCTATTGCCCATTCTCACTGACCCTATTCCATTCCTCCTAGCCAACAGTTTCGGTCCCATAGCACTACTTAGCTGTGCAGTCAGGAGCCAAGCACACCTTTCTGCTGACTGGTGGAGCCAGGAGCAGTGGAAGTCCCATTGGCAGTGGACAACGAAAGGAAGGAATTGCCAAATGCTGCCAGAAAGCACTATTGTATAAAACAGCAACATTTCCATTCAGAAGAAGACACGTGGACCACAAGAAACATGCTCCGGGATCACAAAGCTCACAAACCGCAAGGAAAGCCATTGGCACAGTGTTTAGGTTGTATGCATACATTTAAACATTGATGTCAAACAAAAACTGTTTACTGACAGAAGTCACCAGCACATTTCTATTAAAATTAGGTTTTGTAAAACCCCTGTTTTTTTAAAAGTGAAGAAAAGATAGCTGGGGGTATAAATTCCCTAGCAGCTCTTTTTAAAGGTGTTTACACCTGGAAGTAGAGACAAAGCATGATTTCAAATTGTTTCACAAAGGGTACATCTACACTGCAATAAAAGACCTGCAGCACAAAGCCTAGGTCAGTTGACTCAAGAGACTCAGGCTGCAGGGCTAAAAGTAGCACTGTAGACATTTGGGCTTGGGCTGGAGCCTGAGCCCTCTCCGGATCTCAGAAGCCAGATGTCAGCCTGAGCTTGAATGTCTACACTGCTCCTTTTAGCCCCACAGCTTGACATCCCGACCCTGAGCTTGAGTCAAGTGACTGTGGCTCTGAGACTTGGTGCCACAAGTCTTTAATTACAGCATAGACATACCCAAAGCTTTTAAAGAAATTCCTAGTTTTTAGAAAAGTAGTCCCCTCTATGCGGATTTAAAAAAAAATATCTCAGTAGCATAATACTAACCTGTTAATGTGTTGTTGTTCTGGACAAGAGAATTTATAGTCTGTTTAAAAAAGAAAGCACAAGTAACAATGATGTCATCAGTTCCCAAGTTTTGGAAAGTTAAGCTAAATATCCCAACAGATGTTCATGACACTGCTAGGAAATCATGCCTACCACCCTATAATAGGGTAGAGGAGTCTCTTTTCAAA